AACATACGTCGGGAGGAAATATTCATCGCTGCAGTAATGGTGAAACATCGGATTTCATCAATAGTTGGTCGCCCTCTATTCATTCTCCGAACCAGCAAAGAGGACTCAGCCCCTCCTTTCGCCCTGCCTTATTAGTTTGAAGAATGAGTTGTTGTTGGTGGTGGACGTGTTAGAGTCCGTTTGCTTTGAATGGATGGTAGGGATATGAAGAGGTGCCATTATATTGTATGGCTTTCATGTTTGAGCGTCGGTTTTTTTTGCTTAGATTGCACAGCTAAATAACTACAGTTAGCCTTACGGTTGGGCGTAGGTTTAACCTGTCAATCCCCGTTGCATAATAACACATTTACGCTCAACACGAATTAATAAATTGCTCGTTTAAACAGTCAGAAATAAAAACCAACTACGACGGTGCGGCAAAAACAAATCGTCTGAGTATCAACAATTACGAGAAATTTAAAGTGACTGATTTAGCAGACAGATGCACTGGGTGATCCTCGCAACCGTATATCATCTTGTCATCCTCGGGTAGGAGGTCAACGTCGTGGAAAATGGAACAAGAGTAAGCGGCTACTTTAGCGGCCTTCCTGACTCCAATATTTAAGAGGGCGCCTCGGTTGAATTCCTCAGGTGTGAGCTTTAATAATGAGAAAGGTCCGTAAGGATGAACATTTAAGTCAGATCCAGAAGGTGACATTTGTATATTTGCAAACAGTCTGGTACATGAATAGGGAACCATTTACTGATTCGTAGCATTATCAAGATAGTGGGGGGGTTATCTGAATTTCAACTGCCATCGCTAAAAGTGTACTCCACTGATCCACATTGCCTTAAACATTCATTCAGAAAGTTACAGTAGCTCATATCACATATTCTTCGATAAAGCCTAGGGCAGTGCCGCTTTAAAGACCTACACTATTGGCAAGTATTATATGCCGTTATAAGTATCCATATTACACTAATTTGCAGCACCCTCTTATGACACAACCTAGGTGACAGTAAGGGTGTAAGGATTACTGGCTACTTGAGCCAGTAGCAATTTAGTAATCTGACAACTAGAACCTTTGCATGATTTCGAACTGATACGCACCGGCGGCTTTACATTCAGAATTTTTTAGCTATATAACGTGCTTTGAGGGTCAAAGTTAAGTTAGTTCACAGCCCAGAACCATAAGTGCCCACTGCAAGTTAGCAATTAAGCCATTTATCAATTATTTATGTAAAAAAAGGATTAAAACAACAACAGTTCAATTGTGCCAAAAAATTGATGCTGTGAACGAAATACAGATATAGTATATACGTAAAATCAGGAAAAAAAACAATCCAGTTCATCTTGTTTTCACATTTATTTACAGAACATAAATAAAACAATTATATAAAAAATATCAAGAATTATGCTTAATATACCAATGAAAATGACTACTATGCAACTTCAACTGTGATAACTGCTATCCGACAGGCCCTGCATTATTATTATTATAACTTTAGTACTGCAGGTTGAAACAAATCTTCGACAGGCTCGAGCAGATAATACGTCATGGCTGGCTGATGTAAATGATATTGACTCAACAAGAAATTTTTGTAAACTACTCCTAATACGTGCTCTCTAAGGCCTATGAAAACATATGTCGTTAGTGAGCATTTTTTTCAACATATTTATGCTCAAATGAGTGTATCCAAAACACTTGAAACGTATATATTATGCCTAAGTTAATATTTGCGTGGTCCTACTGTGCAATAATGTTAAGAAGGACAGACCAAACATGTCGACCTACCTGTTCGATCACGAAAATTGTGTACCGTCGACGTTGATGTCGCAAAAACGGGTGCATATTGTTGAGGAAGGCAGATAGATTGGCAAATTGGTTACGGAAGGGAACAATAATAGCGGTAACTTCTGGTTGATAGCAAGCTGGAGTCCAGACAACTCGTTTGGCTTGGATTCCCTAACCCCTGCGGTACTCCAACCTGTATCCGACGTCTGTGAAGTTGGATTCCCCAATCCAGATGGCCTTCTGCGATGGTATTCCCAATGTTAGGGCCAGTTGTGCAAGGGCACGAATTCCAGGCTAACATTTAGCCAGCCAACTAAAACCGGAAACCCATATTTCTTTTAAATAAATAAATCGAATATTCCTTCATCAAAAATGCCAGTTTAGAGAAAAACAGAAGGCTACCACTTAATTATTATGGTAAGATGGTATCCGGTATTTCTTTTCTGAAAATTCCAGCTTACGGAACCTGACGACAGCAGTGCATGGTTTAGTAAAATATTATCTCAATTAAGAAAATAGTCAAAGTTAAGTCGCTAGAATGGATTGATATCTCGAGTTTTGTGAGCATTTGTTCGGAAATTGTATATGAAATTACTAATATTCCTTCTTTCCTTGAAGGCACTTTTTACGGCAGTATGCCAGCTTAATCGTGAATAGCATTCACTTGACATCCTTCGTACAGAAACGTCTGCTTTTGCGATCATGAATGGCATGTTCAGACATTAGTCATCTGATATGGTACTTGCAGTTTGCTTGATTAACTGCGAATATTACACTTTGTTTCAAAAACCTGTTTAAAGACAGGTTATTTCGTGTTCGTTAGTGTATATGCCTCTGTTCTTCGTCTACAATATAGCTCCTTTTAATGTGGCTTATACTGGTATTATGTGCAGCTAGTCAGCTGTAAATTTAATAAACACTGAAATGGCTTTTTATTTTACGGTACTGCAGATTATGTTACCTAGGACTGGGCGTTCATACAATTTTTTTATTTCAGGTAATGTTTTTTGGTGTTTTTTAATCATACTTTAAAGGGACAGGTGCTGTCTTGTTTCGATGTACTTATGTATAGTTTGTTTTGGCCAGATTTTATTATGTTGTAATCTGGCTTTTAGTATATGTTATAACCAGTAGTCTGTAATGTAGTGTTCAAAGTGGGGCTAGCAGCTAGTGTGTAGATGCAAGTTACGTTTCTTTTGCTCAGAACATCCACCACGTTTGTCTCGCGTTTTAACAATGAGGCTGACTACTTTAAATACGCGTGTTATCGGATTGCGGCAAGGGAAGATTAGTATACAACAAACAAGGTATCCCTTTTTCAAAAGCCACCTGCAAAGGTGCTGAACCATCAAGCTTCTTACCTGCGTTTTCAAATTTTCTTCTCGTGTTTCTAGCTAACTTATCATTTAAGCATTTTGCCAAAACATAATTTTACCTAAATATAAGTGGTGACGAGAAATAATTCTTCTCTAACCCAAAATAAGCCGCCAAGCACTGCCTGACCAGCAGAACAGTAAATAGCATTTCAGGTTTTAGCTTAAATATTTCCAGCTGCAACTTCGCTGCCTCTTTGTCCTTCCCCTTCTACGTTAGAAAAACACTGCTCTACTAAGGACTCAGTAAATTGAGGAATTTACTAAAAAAACTTACCAGAATCAGTAGAATTGCACGTCCGATAAAATTCAATTGAGAGATAGCATTTAATAGGCAGAATATAACCAACGTAGCCCACAATTCAATAATGAAATTTTCTTACAATGAAGCACAAAATATGACAAAAGCTCAGCTTCTCAATTCCTGAAGGCACTTGCGAAGCAACATTAAGACTATTCGGAAATTTAACAAATTACTATTAAGCTTGCTGGGTGTGTTACTTTAGTTCTGGCAAAATATCTGCCCTGAAGTGCTCCTTTGCCCTCCGCCGAGCATTTTTTACCAAACAAACACTATAGCTGACAATAACAGCGTACTAAGCTGTTAATATATAGAGCATCCACCCGACCGCCTTAGTATATGCTTGCCACACATGGCCAGCAATAAATGCAGACATTATATCGTTCGATGTATTTGACCGTTTCTGTCTTCGACTCCTCCTAAAAGTCTCCTGCCAGGATCAAATGTGCAATGTTGAGCTATATCGCAGGTTTTTCAGACTTGAAAGTTTAGCATCATGCGTGAAGCATCAACGAATACAATTATTTGGACATATCCTGCGCAAGCGCCATTAACGGACCTCTGCATATTGAGCGTCAACCCCTTTCATAGTGCAAATTAGGGATACCGACATGGTGGTCAGCTGAAGACGTGGCTCAACACTGTCAAGTCGGACGTCAAACGCATTGGCCTCTTAAATGTTTACGGCTTACGACAATGGAACAGGCACTGGGTTGATATATGCTAGGAGCCCGCTTGCGATCGGGGCAAATGGGCCGCCGCTACCCCTGACATCCGTGAAGCCGATTCATTAAACAACAGGAACTAATCGGATCAACTGCAAGCACATAGTTGAATACGAGAAACCACTGGACGGTTTATATTTCCCTCTACTAAACAAATCCTGGATGACTGTCCTCGACGCCCCAAAAACGAAGGCAACGTCCAGAACCCGATAACTTCGTCGAAGTGACGAATAAATTAGCAGTTTGGGGCAAAGGTTCGCAGCCCAGGTATGTGCATAGATTGAGAAGAAGCATGTTCGATCACCGGAATCGTAGTTTAATTTGTCTGAGCTTTCGAACTTTTGCGGGAATCCATCATCAGAGATAAAACCGTCAACGAAAGCAAGCAACATTCTTAGGGGAAAAAGACCAATTATCCGTCAACGAAAGCAAGCAAAATTTACAGGGGAAGGGGTCAATTAACCGTCAAAGAGAGCAATCAAAATTTACAAAGGGAAGGGGCCAATTAACCTTCAAAGAAAGCAAGCAACATATAGAGGGGGGCAATTAACCTTTAACGAGAGCAAGCCAAATGTATAGGGGGAGGGGTCAATTATCCGTCATAG